TTTTTTGTATTGAGCTTTTTTAATGGACTGCACGTCACTTATTACTCCTTGTTCTGATTTGGCAAAAATATTGGGTAACTAGAGATTGGAGTGGATTGATTGCCCTCTAGAGGGATAGATAATTCAAATTAGGGGAAAAACCTATTGATAGTGTAATGTGGCTAGGAATTATGCCTGCATATTAATAATAAAAAAGATATTTTGTATCTATAGATATCCTTTCGTCATAGGATTTCAAAGTGTTGTAAGACTGTCCTTATTTTAGCCAAGAACAATACTTTATGGTGGTTATAAACCAGATAAACAGGGATTTATAATGAAGATATTGACTGTCTTTAATGTAGCAACATGAATAATGCCATGTGTTTATATAACCATCTGGGGTCTGATCCTGCAAAGTGCTGTGCACTCTAGCCTCAGTCAAAAAAAGTACTAAAACATACCTAATTTTAAGGACATGTAATGTCCTGTTGACTTCAGTGGCTGATGGACAGCGTGCCTGGAGCAGTTTGAACGGGTTAAAGCTGAAGATGCTAGCTTTACTTCTGGTTTAAATATATGGACTCTTCTGTCTGACTTGTTTAGGGAATCCATTTCTGGGGAACAATGCCCCGTCTTCTGTCATGGAGCTAGAATAATTGTCTTATAAAAATATGAAATTCTAAATGGACTAAGCAATGCTTAAGGGGAACATAAGTCTACACACATGTGAAAAGTATAAACACCAGAGAAGGAGAAGAAATATTTGGGGTGAAACACTGGGGTAATAATAAAAAATGAAGGAAAGTCTAACATAAGCTAAAAGGCAGGAAAACTTCCTGACAATGTGAGATCTCTTATCTTCTCAAGGGACCGGGTGGAGACCTCCACGCTTGTAGCTTTTAAAAGCAGACCGGACAAGACATTTATAAATGTGCTATAGAGCACAGTCCTACATGGGCCAAGAGATATGGCTGGGTGATGTAGCAGGTCACTTCTAGGTCTAACTCTTACGCTTCTGTGATTAAAAATTCCTACAATTGGAAATATCCCATGTACTGAAAATACCTGATTCTTATTCCATATGCTGAGACCCAGTTTACTTTATTTAGCACTGCTTTTAAAAAAAAATTCCTGTCATTTCGGAGCAGGGAAGTTGGCACAGATCTGAAAGCCAGAGACTAAACAAATGCATGGATTGAGTTTATAAATGCAGGAAAATGACCAAGAAGGCAAGTCACTGCTGATTAGTTCCCTCCACTCCAATAATCCCACTGTCCTTCCCTTTCCTTTCGTGCAGGACAGGGCATCTTCCCAAATACTCTTTCCTCCGCTGCAGCATAACTGATCACAAGGCAACCATTGGTCAGTAGGAAAAATTATAGGAAGTGTTTGCCCTCTGACAACTGTGTGGTGGGGTGTGTTGGATTTTGGTGACATTATTTAAACCTGTCTCCTTGACACATACTTTAAATTTGATATTTACCAGCTTACTTGCTGCTAGCAACAAATTAAAGCTTTGTTTCAAAACATCAGTTGAACTATTCAGTGGAGTTTTATATCTGTCTATCGCCTGGTGTTTATTTCGGTACACGTAGACAGAATTGGGCGGCAGATTGCTTTTCTTGGGCTGGAGGAGGGGTGGATGAGAGATTTGCTAGTTTTGCATGTGTCAGTTGCATGTGATGTTTGTAAAACCATGTTGATGTCATAGGGACTCTACCCTCTGACAGCTGTGCCTTCTCCTCTGTTAGCTTTTTTGTAGTTGAAGATCACATCTTACATACAACCCAGGGCTTGGTCAATAGAGCCTATATCGATGAACTGTGGGAAATGGCTCTGTCAAAAACTATTGCCGCACTAAGAACACATTCAGTAAGTAAAAGCCACGGATTCATTATATTTGCAGCAACAGTTAAACAATCTGAGTCTCTGGGAGTTAGATTTTTATTTTGTTGTTTCTTGTTTGTGTTTTTTGTTTGTTTGTTTTTTAATAATATACTGAATATATACCTATATACTGATAAGGCTTTATTCCGCTCTGGATAGTCCAAATCATCCTGCACTGAGCTCTCCTCTGTTTGCGGGACTGGAAATAATAAATACTGGTTCACATTTCCATTTCTCCATTATTTAGTCGACCATTTTTGGAATGCACCAGTAGGGGGAGTTTACTTATTCTCCGTCATTGGATTAATGCATTTGTATGGAGTTCTGTATTTTAAACTGAAACCATGGACATTTTGGTATTCCATTGAAGTAAATGCCAGTGAAAGACACACCATAGGGTTAAATATCTTACATTTTAAAGACAAAGAAGTAGATTTTCTTCCCTATGTTACAATGTCTTGGATGAGTAAAACTGAAAGTATTTAAAAAAAAAATATTTTCTCCACTTAGGTGACTTGTTTATTTTTGGCATTTCTCTCAGCTTGGTAAAATAATAATAATAAAAAAATAAACTGGTCAGTTTTACTTTCAGGTTCTCATGCTCTAGCACTATACTTTTTATGTCCTTTTAAAAATCAGTTGAAAGTTAGAAATGTCTCTTTGGGGGAACAATAAAACGTGGCCACTCCACCCTCAGGGCTGGTCTACACTGCCGCGCTAGTTCGGCGGCTGGGGATCGAAGTTCCGAGTTCGATTTATCGCGTCTGGTCTGGACGCGATAAATCGAACCAGGAAGTGATCCCCGTCGACTGCGGTACTCCAGCTCAACGAGAGGAGTACCGCGGAGTCGACGGGGAGCCTGCCTGCCGCGTGTGGACCGCGTCTGAACCGCGGTAAGTTCGAAGTAAGGTATGTCGAATTCAGCTACGTTATTCACGTAGCTGAATTTGCGTACCTTACTTCGACTTGGGGGGTAAGTGTAGACCAAGCCTCAGTGAAGGCTGGTGATAGCTGAAAAGAGGAAAATGAAATTGACACACCAAGTTGTTTCCAATTCGATTTATGGCAGGGACACATTCTACTGTATCTAGCTACCTGAGGTAGGCACATTGTACCCTGCCTTCCTTGAAGGATCTCCACTGGCTATTGTGATCCTTAATGTGGGTTCTGAGAAGGCTCAGACAGCTGCAGATCTCTTTTGGGTACTGCATCATGTAGTGCATTATTATTGCTGCCTGTTCACACTAGCAGATTACTGAACAGGTTTATAAAGTGATATTGCTACTACAATTTAACTCTGTTCATTGAAACTGCCTTCAGCCCCATGTTAACATTTCCATGCTGCTATTCTGGGAACCATGGTCAGCTGGAACCATATCTGAGACCTTGTTCTAGCCGGTTCCAACACAGTTCTGTAACCTGCTCATAGGAAAGCCTAAAAATTGTGTAATGTGGAGGCACAATATGCTATTTACTTTCAAATCATGTTCAGATTTACATTCATCTACTTTACAATTACAGCTCAGTTGTCATGTGGCTGTGCACAAACGATGTTACAAAACGGGGAGTTGGTTTTATCAGTGTAGATGGGACTAATTCATGTTATAAACATGTTAAGGGAATCCATGCTACAAACCTGGTGTTCAGATATACCCAAATAGATGAGCATCTGCAGATGTTTCCCATGGCTCTGGTTTTCCATAGCATGGCAGCTGTGTTGACTGGAGATACACTTTGCTGGCTGACTCCGTTTGTGCCTTGAGGAAGGGGATATGTAGAGAGAAAAATAGACCCAAACATTTCTATCATAAAGCTGTATTCTTTTGAATCAGGGGTTTCTGGTGGCGCAATGTAAACCACGAGAGCAAAGCAAATTAAAACACTTCAGTTTTTTAAAATTTCAATAACTTTACTAACATGACAAGTGTTGCCCAATTTAATACATGAAGTGTCTGATAGGAATAGGTTTTACAACAATCATGCGGTTTTACGTAGTCGTTCAGCATTTATATTACAGTCATCATCAAATTATCTTGGCACCAAACAGTTATTTTGGCAACAGCATAACGACCCCGCATGTCCATCCTGTATTATCATTCATCTCTGATTTGGTGGGAGGCTGTCGCATTAGTGAGCCTGTTTCGTCTCTGTCCTTTCAGCCAGGATTATGCTTGGGTTTTCTTCTTTGCTTTTGAGTGGGAGATCTTTTATCATTTCTGAGAGTAGTAGGGAACTATCTTTCTTTCCTACTTTGTTTTCTGGGCAGTGAATTGGGAAATGTTTCTTTGTCACATTGATTAACAGAGTCGTTCCTCCTTGAGTTTTCCAATGGACTTGAAATCTCTGTTTCTTTTTTCCAGTTTAGGATCACTGATTATATATTTGGTAAGAGTCTGTTTGAAATTTGGCATATTTCTCTTTAGTAGGGTAGTCTGCTAATATAAAGATTATGTGCAAAGAGGATGTATGATCTAATTTGCGATTTTGATCAGCTGTTCCCAGAAGGCTGTGTATCTTTCTGACTAGTGTCTTGAGCTGTAGTAATTGTTTATATCATCGTATGGACGTTAATATTGCTGACACCTAGACATGCAATGTTTTTTCCTCATGTTGCCAGAACACTCTAGTTAAAAATGGAATCTTCTTAATATACAGAATTTTGGGGATATTTTCTGTTTTGCAAGACCTGACTAACATTAGACACAATGTAATTAACAATTTTTTTCAGCAATAGATAACACTCAGTGTCTTTGATCTGTCAGTGTACTGCTTTTGCACCTTTTCCCTTCTCAGTCTCCTGATAAATACAGTAACTTCTCGGTACTTTTAAAGACATCTTGCTGGGGTATCTACACAGCAACAGAAATCCTTGTGTGTCCTGTAGAGCTTTTGATTGCAGCATGTTCTGGAATGGGATAATGTTTCAGTATTTCTGTATTCTGTGACAGTGTATCATGATGTGACCGATCACGCTGTATAATAAAAGGCTATTAAAAGCCTACCGATAATAAGGTTGTATCAAGTGTCTATATATTATTAGAGAAGATGAAGGATTACAGAAGGGTATGTGTGGATGTTTTTTCTATTTGTAACGATTAAAACTTTTTTTCAACCCCCCACCCCCCCCCCCCCCTTTTTTTTTTTAGTCTTACTGCTCTGACCCAAATCTGGTATTAGACTTGAAGAACCTCATAGTTCTGTTTGCAGATACACTCCAGGTATGTGACTGTCAGATGCTGATGTACATCTTGTTAAACATCTGTAGTGCTCGTGAAAGGTGTCAGCCATTTAAACCGGCTGATGGGCACCGCTTCACCATGTCATCTCTCTTTCTTTATTTTGTGGTGTGTGAATTCAGGGGCCAGACTGATAGCCCAGGAGGCTGACACATTGTTTGCACAGGGCAGTTAATCTGTGGGCAGTGGCCCGTGCTGCCTTACCCACGTGATGGGTCCATCTGGACCCAAAGAGACCACCTCTAGGGTTCAGAGTAGGCCCTTGGCCTTTCTGCTGACACTGCCTACAAGGGTGTTGAATGTGACAGGGCTTTTTGTGATGGCCACTCCTGTCCCTTAGGAGCCAGGCCTGTGAAAAAGCCACTAACATTCAACCATGAGTGATCTAGTCTGGATTTGAACTGGCTGCCTAGAGTTTAGTACACAGGTACTGAATCCCTGGACCATGCAGTCCTCGCATCAGATTCAATTTGATGATTGTCATGGAAGCGTAGAATTGACTCCTTCCTTCCTTTTTTTTTTTTTGTAAATCCCAGTGTTAGCATTTCTTATTGAATGAAGGTGCTTGCGTTTCTCCATGCAGGGGTATGGCTTCCCTGTAAACCAGCTGTTTGACATGCTACTGGAAATCAGAGACCAGTATAGTGACACTCTGCTAAAGAAATGGTCAGGAGTTTTCAGGTAAGAAGCTTTTTATACACGGTGGCAAGACTTTACGTGCAGAGATTTTATGTACCGGCTAAAATGTTTTTTTATTTTTATTTAAAGGGCCACTCACAGCATGCTTATGTCTAAAATTCCGCCTGTGTTAAACTTGCTATAACTTGGTGCAGCCTATCCACCTTGGGAGAGGGAGAGGAAATGCCAACATAGCTGCAAACAAAGCTGGGTAACCAACCTTGGCTAGAGGAGGGTTTGGAGCAGGACACAGGCTGAGACCGGGGCTGGGGCATGGACCAGGCTGGAGCAGGAGCAGTCGGTCAGAACTACCAACTAGCAGGGAGCATTCCCAACAAGGTAGTGAGGAAACTGGAGTGGCTGCTTTCATTTGGAGCCTATATACCTGCCTTGGGGTTACCTGGTCAGACTTTTGCTTATGGATTGACTGGGCCCTTAGGCCTTGCAGGTAATCGTCTCAAGTGACTCATCAGGCTCAAAACACTCAGGCTCAGGGATGACTCATCAAGCTCAGAAGGTTCCTCACAGTACCTTCCTCTCTCCCTGTCAACCCCTAGAAAAGATGCCTACCAAGCATCCTCAGACCTGGTTTATTGGCGTGTTTATTGACATCTCGAAGTAGGGCAGATGCATGTATGTTGTTGGCCAGCTCCCAGGAGCATTCAGCTGGACCATAATCCTCCCAATCAACAAAGTAAGTGAGATTCCCTCGGCGAACTTTGGAGTCCAAGATCTTCACCAGTTACTCCTCATGTCCCTGGACCATATTGGATGGAGAGGCAGTTGAACTCGTCCAGGAAAGGTTTTGTCAATATGCTTTTTCAGCCAGGAGATGTAGAATACCCGGGTGTATTTTCATATTTTTGGGCAATTGGAGTTCAAAGACTACAGGTTTGATCTGCTGGATGACCCACAGTGGGCCACGGTGTCAGTAATCCACTTTTCGTGAAGGTTGACTATAACCAAAGTATTGTGTGGAGAGTCATACTTCATCCCCAACCGTGATTGAGGGGTTGCGTGCCTACAGAGGTCAGTGTAATGTTTGTAATCCTTTTTAGTTGATTCTAGGTGGGCTTTCAACTCCTCCTGGATGCAGTGCAAGTGTTCAACTAGGTTGGAGATTGCGTGACTTGTGGCATGGATGGATAAAATGGTTGGTGGAAACCATAGTTGGTGTAAAAATGACTCTGGTGGGTTGATCTCTGGTCAGAGTTGTAAGCGAATTCAGCAAAAGGAAGAAGCAAAACCCAGTCATCCTGGTGGTAACTGATAAAGCAACGATGGTATTGTTCAAGTATTTGGTTCACTCATTCCATCCGTCCATTGGTCTGGGAGTGATAAGCCAAGGAGACATGCTGATCCACGTCCAGGAGATCAAACAACTCTCACCAGAAATGTGAAATGAACTGCAGTCTTTGGGCTGGTCTACACTAGGGGGGGGATCGATCTAAGATACGCAACTTCAGCTACGCGAATAGTGTAGCTGAAGTCGAAGTATCTTCGATCGAATTACCTGGGGTCCACACAGCGCGGGATCGACGGCCGTGGCTCCCCCATCGACTGCGCTACCGCCGCTCGCTCTGGTGGAGTTCCGGAGTCGACGGTGAGCGCATTCGGGGATCGATATATCGCGTCTTAGCGAGACGCAATATATCGATCCCAGATAAATCGATTGCTACCTGCCGATACGGCGGGTAGTGAAGACGTACCCCAAGATCAGATGTAAAGTTACATGGTAGACCATGGAGTTTCAAGATATGGTTGTAAAACAGTTGGGGTGTTACCTCTGCAGTGAGAATTTGAAGGTATGGCACAAAATGTGACTTTTTATAAGCAGGTTGACCATGACCAACACAGGGGCTGCCAAGATATGTGATGGCAGAAGAGAGGGCTTGTGTGGAGAACTCGATTCCATGGTCATGTGCAGCTGTGACCCCTCTAATGGGGCTGGATTTGGTCATTTCCTAGATTTGTCAAGGGCCTGGATTTATGGGGGGCGGACTCAGTGGCAAAGGAGCTTTGTCCACCACAGTATAGGCAAAGGCTGTTTCACCTATGAAGTGCCTTCATGTTGCATGGGTCTGCATAGGCTCTAGCTTTGGAGCAGTCCATGCGGATGGCCACAATGGAGCAGGGCTTGGCTGAGGTTACAAGGCATGTCTTTTTTTCTTGGAGTCACTCATATGACTCTTGATCCAATGCAAAATTCAATATGAGTTCAGAATAGTGGGGGCTTGACCTAGCCAGTTCATCTTTTACATCATCGTTCAGACCCTGGCAGAAAAGGTAGACCTGGCCAGCCTCGTTCCTTGATGTATCGGCAACCAGACACTGAAAGTAGGCGGCATATGGCAGGACAGGCCAAAGGCCTTGTTTGGGAAACTGCAGGGCAGCTTCAGCAACACGAGTGCTATTCGGATCACCAAATGGGACCGAAAGGGTATGAGATTAATTCATTGAAATTAGTAAGGACCAGGCTTGCCTGTTCCAGAAGTGGTGAGACCCATTCTAAGGCTTCACTGATCAATAAACTGAGAAGACCCATCTTGGTCTGGTCATCAGGATACATTGCGGGATGCATCCAGAACAAAAAGCAGCATTTAATAAAACCACAGCACTTCTGGCAGCTGCCATCAAATCTTTCTGGCAGTGGGACCTTCGGGCCATGTTCCAGAGGGACTGTTGCCGGCAGTACTGGATCTGCTGGGATTTGGGAGCAGGGGGAATTGTTCTCCTGTTGCACCTGGGCAAGCTGACCCTGAAGGTTGCGGACCAACTACCAGGAGGATTTCCATTTCGGTCACCAGAGGTGAGCATGTCGGGGAGCAGTCTGCTCAAACGGTCCGCACAGCTGGGTGACCTGCCGTGGCTTGAGCAGGAATAGATGAAGGCTGGAGCAGGAGCGGAGATAGGCACAGGTTGAAGCAGGGGCAGGAACAGGCTGGCATAGGAGCAGTCTGTCAGAACTACCAACAAAGTAGAGACGTGGAGCAGACTGGAGTGACTGCTTTCATTAGGAGCCTATATACCTGCCTGATGGTCACCTGGTTAGACCCTTGCTTGTGGTTTGGTTGGGCCTTGCAAGTAATTATCTCAAATGACTCGTCAGCCTCAGAGCGCTCATCACAAGTGATATCCATGTGATACATTCACTTGTGCTACTTCTTTGACCATCTAAAATACAAGGTATGTCTTCATTGCAGAGTTAACTTGGGGGATTGGCACTCAGGCCTGAGCACTGGGATAGTCTAACCTGGGTGTGAACCAGCCACACTTCAAAGCCAGACCCGAGCTGCTGTGTCTTCACTAGTGCTGCACTCACCTCTGTGATGTCAGGGCTTCTGGAGGCACATCACCCGGTTCTTTGTGCTGCAGTGAGCTGAGCTGCACTGTGGCTTTTTTGTCAGTGAATGCTGGGAAAAGGTATCTGTCCTTCCGGGCTCGTAGGGGGAATTGTGGGAAGGTGTTGGAGGATCATCAGCGCTCGAGTGATTTAGCCTGCGTCCTCACTGTAAAGTGGGCAAGTTACTCACCCAAGTGAAAACCCCAGATGACCCAGACTGAAAGCACTACTAATTCGGATCAGAGGTCTTCGTGTAGGAAAAGGATTGGGGTTAGAGGCAACACCTGGGTAAGAGCAGCACGCCTAGCCATTTTAGGTTAAAGAGCCACATGTCCCCTATCTCTCACCTTGAAATGCTCTGCACTGCTATAACTCACTATGGTAGGCCTTTGTGAATGCCAGTAACCTTTGATATTGGCTGTTCTGCTAGGTTTCTGGACAGATGTGCTCCTGGTGGTAACACTATTTCTCTGCACAAGAAGGGTTACTGTAACTGTTCTCTTATATTTTACAGAAATATACTTGATTCAGATAATTACAGTCCTATACCCGTAGCTAATGAAGAACTTTATAAGAAGATAATAGGACAGTTCCCATTCCAGGATCCGGAGCTGGAAAAGGTAAGGAAGCCTCTAAAAGGGGACCCTGTTGGGATACCATTAAGAAACTAGTTCCTAACACCACCAAAGATTATTAAAATGGAAATAATTTAAAAAAAATCACGTGTACTTTTCATGGTTTACATTTTCTGGGCTTAGAGGAAGAGACAGACTTGTCAGTATCGAGTCAATTTCACTTTTGGATCATTGCGCTCGCACAGTTCTGCAATGCTTGCAATACATGGGAATGTTTGTTTTTTAAAAGTCTGTTTCCATTGGAACTTCATTTTGTTTTTATGGAAGTGTTTCTATTGACTTGGTTTATTTTAATTTCTGCAGAACTTTAAAATATAACGATGCCTTCGGTTTTGTAAAAGCTTGGGCTTCACAAAACTCTAAAAGTAGGGCCAAATTTGACCTGAACAGTGTCACAGTGTCCCTTTTAAACCATGCTTGGCTTGCACTCAGCCTCTGGCAAATGTATGCTCCCGGCCTGGTGAGTGTAATTATAAACTGGCTTGCGGGGGGAAGGAGTTCAATCCAAGTTAGGTGTTTGGGCATTATTTACCCCCCTTCCCATTCCCCATCTGTTTGGCATCCAGTTTCTTCACCATTGTGCTCTAGACCCTTAGGCCCTGTCTAGGCTGTGGTTGAAGCCAAACTAGTAAGAGTCTGATTTGAAGGACATGACCTCTGCTTCCTCCCTGCTATTGGTGTTGTAAGCCAGTGCCTGCCTTAGGCAGAAACAGGAAGAGGTGACAGAACAAAATGTCTTGTGCCGTGCGCAGTGGTAAATCAACATTGAGGAGTCTTCCAGTATTTTCCTTTTATGAATAAGGGAGCTGGTAATGGGTATGGGTGAGGTGTTCCTCTGACTGTTCCCTTCTAGCTGCAGATTTCTCTCCAGGCCCAGTACAGTGTCATTTATGAGTGATTATCTGGTCCTTCACTTGGCTGAAACGGTTGTATAACATACAATAAATGCTGGCTTGTTGTTTCATTGCATAACCTGGCTGAATATTAGAATTCATTTGAAAGCATGGAGGTGGAAAGCAGCTACCACACTCTAGGTTTTGCTGGGAGTGGTGCTTTTCCCTGTTAAATTTCTGCTGTTGTCCTTATTTTAATTCTTTCCTGCATTTTACAGCAACCGTTTCCAAAGAAGTTCCCCTTTTCTGAGTTTGTGCCTAAAGTTTACAATCAGATTAAAGAATTCATCTATGCCTGTCTAAAGTTCTCAGAAGATCTTCACCTGAGGTACAGTATGAGATACTGATGATTGTTCATGTAAATATGATAACTTCGCAATTTATATAGCTCCTTTCACTGCAGGATGTCAAAACACTTTATAAATATTCATTTTCTCCTTAATCCTCCATGCCAGTACTAATATTTGGGGGTAGTTCCTTCTTGCCAGAGGACAGAGATGGTACACTCCTTCTTAGTGGTGTGATATCCCATGCATATAAGGGGCTTGCCAGCTCTTGAAGAACAGCTGTGGCTGTTTCCAGCTGGTGGCACGCACAGTATCTTGCCAGCTGCATAAAAAGTCAGAGGACTAGGGTCTGTTCCATCTGTGATTCCTCTGAAGAGTTCGTACAGCACAGCTGAGCCCAGCCATCCCTGACAATGGTAGTGATGGTCTTTAGCCCACCAGACCAATGGCTGGTGGGACTTCATAGTGTGGGCATAGCATGGCAATCTCACATAGGGCTCCCTGGAACGCCTCCAGAGAAGGTTCTGGAACAGCTGTTGTCAAGTGCTAACTGTTAAAGGGATCCTCCTTCCGAGATTACTACAGTGGTAGGAAGTGTAGGCAGTATGTGGCCTCCAACAGGTCTCTTCCCCTACTCCAGGAACTAAAGGATAAGCTAGGCACCACCCCTCTGGGTCCACCCAGTGTTCTTGGGCCCAAGGTCATGTCACAACACAAGGGCCTACCTCCTGAAAACTCTGCTTTCCCAAAGCTCTCGCTTACCCTCCTCGAGGGGACACCCTCCCATACCTATGGAGTTGACCAACTAGCTACATCCTCCAACGACTTGTTTCCCTTCTTTTTGTTTCCACCACTCACCCTCCATGCTCTCCAAAGAAGCTTATGACGACAAGCTCTGTGCTATCAAAACCAGAAGTGTGCGTCACCATCTTGGTCCAGCAGCACAGGTGCACAATGAGAGAATAGCAGCAAGTCCTCCACCCCCTTTCCCGCCCATCAGCGTCACCGAGGGCAGTAATGCCCTCCCCTTAATACCAGTATATGTCCATGCTCACCCGTTCCTCTTCCCTTAATTAAGTTGTACATCCAGCAGCCTCTCCTCCCCTCCCCTTTCCAGTTTGGAAAAGGTACCTGCCAATAGATCCACTCGGCAAAGAGAGTCTGCTCTAAAGCGTGCCTCGGAAACATCAGGTATCACTCTCCAGGCACCTAGCTACTCAACCTGTTCAAGTAGGGCAGTGCTTCTATAGACAGCCATCAAGGAGACTGAGTCCAGGACTCCAAAGCTAAAAGCTTGGGTCTCTATCACGTGAGCTAACGGAGAAACTTCTCTAGCTGGTAACTGGAGTAAACTCGTAGGAATTACACGAAGCCCTCTTAGAGAAGAACTTTCAGAGTTTCGCCTGGCTTTGTTGAGCCAACAAGCACCTTATACATAGGGTCTGACGTCACCAAAAAGATTAAAAATTCTCCACCTTCTGGACGGAGGAGCTATACCGGAGAGTCTAGATTTGCAGAAAGTTCTCAGTGAATGAAAAAAAAAAAGATCAAATAGGAGAAGTTTCCCATTCAAGCCTCCCAGCACCCCAGTGAGGAAGGTAAGTAGTATTTATGCCAATTCTAAGCTAAGCCCAGAGTGATCAAGAAACTTGCCCAGGGTCACACAATGTTGCAGTTCCAGAGCCAGGAATAAAACTCAGGAATTCCACCCCATAGTTCTCTGACCTAACTACTGGATCACGTGCACGCTAAGCTGAATACTCAGATGCTGTCAGAACATGTTTTCCGTGAGCTCTGTGGTTTTGGAAGATTTGCCTTCTCCCAAACAAGTTGTGTCTCAGTTTTTTTCCATGGGATTTTATAAATAAACAAATGAAATTTGAATCTATTTTTTAAATATCCTACAAAATTTCTTTGTTTACTATCCTTCCTCCCTGCCCAGGTGCCTTGATGCTATTTACACAAGTGTTTTTGTGTCTGTGGAAGCCTGGAGAACAATTATACAACCTAGTAATTATAAGTTGGGCCATGCTTACGCACAGTAATATATTTAACTTGCAGAAGGTGCATAAATAAATGGTGAATTCTCACTGGGAGGGCAAGAAAGGGTTCCTTCTTCCCTAATGCCCGTGCACGGTACACAGGTAGCTAGGTGTTGTGCAGTATGTGGCTGTTCCCGATCCTTTGCAGCTTCAAGTACTGGGCACTGCTGGAGGCTGGATATCACACCGATGGCCTGATCTTTTACAACAGTGCTATTGGGGAGGCCTGCAGGCTAAGCATTTCCAGAGTCTGTAGAAGGCTCTGTAGGCATGGAATAGCCGTCGTTTTTCGTCTGGGCTTCAGTTCCTGGAGAAATCCCCATTCTCTCTGTGTCCTGCTATGGAAGCTGAGATCCAGTGGCTGCCTTCTCACTGTCAGTCCCAGAGTTTAATCATCTCATGGCAGAATGCTCTTATTGGTGGGCCTCACAGGTGTTAACCTGTGGGTTGCCATTAAATATTTAGGCTTCTGAAGCTAGCTTGCCCTCTGCTCTTTTTGCAAAATGGTCCCGTTTCACAGAGCTATCGGATTCATTTAACTCCTCCAGTGGTGCTTGCCTTGGAGGAGTGCAGCTAAGCGCTTTGTACTCTTAACCATTACCGAGATGATTAGGTTTGTCAGAGAATGGAAGAAAAGTGTTCTCCTGGGTACCACCTCAGGGGCTCCCCATGGGGAAGTTATTAAAATTCCTTTCAACTTAGGAGTTTTCATCCTTTTTTGAGGGGTGCATTTGGGCAAGGGGAAAGGAGTGGAGCTGTTGTGTTTTTCCATCCAAACATACTGAATATTTCTCTGAAAACCCCAGTTGACACTTTCTTCATTTCACTCTGACAGTTTGAATGAGTTTTTATTAGGAAGTTTGGCTGCAAAGCCAGCAGCAAGTTTTCTTTCTTTCTCTTTCTTTTTCTTCCTCGGTTGTCACTTACCTTGCACCCTGGAGTGATTGGGGTCAGGCTGTCAATCACAGCAGGCATGAAGGTCATGGCTACTGTTATGGGATATGGGACATCAGCTATCATTAACATAGACAGTTCTCTAAAGTACTCTACAGTCTTTCCTGAAGAATAAACCCTGCGGCAGAAAACATGAGTCATATATTTTTAATTATTATTCTAAACCAGCTCCTTGTATTTGTTGGACAGAAATATTCTCCTTTATAATGAGGTGATTATGAAAGATGTTTAAAATATTTAAAGACCCTGTCTTATTTTCAACAGCTTTCGTGAGTGTGCACACTTTTTGTTTTGCTTTATTATTTCAATTTAAAACTTTGTTTTAAAATATTTCTTCATTGGGATGAGTCTGAGGCATATTTTAGAGATTCTTCTCCAGTAAGTTGTCTTAAAAATTTCCACTGGTTTAAAAGATGTCACCAATTCTATTGGAATTTCCCATTTTAAAGATATTCCTTATCTTTGGAACTAATAGAATTTTTCAGACAGGTGGAAACCTTTAAATGTGTCAACTGTTATCTAACAGGACTTTGATTGTACAAACATAGGGCCCAATCTCTGCAGACATGTAGGGGGCAATTTTTAAAGTACCCAAGTGATTTAGGAGCACAAATCACATTGATGTCACGGGGCTTGGGCTTCTAAATCACGTAGGGCTTGTCTCCTCATCTCAAAAAAGATATACTGGCACTAGAAAAGGTTCAGAAAAGGGCAACTAAAATGATTAGGGGTTTGGAATGGGTCCCATATGAGGAGAGATTAAAGAGGCTAGGACTCTTCAGCTTGGAAAAGAAGAGACTAAGGGGGGATATGATAGAGGTATATAAAATCATGAGTGATGTGGAGAAAGTGGATAAGGAAAATTTATTTATTTATTCCCACAATACACGAACTAGGGGTCACCAAATGAAATTAATAGGCAGCAGGTTTAAAACAAATAAAAGGAAGTTCTTCTTCACGCAGTGCACAGTCAACTTGTGGAACTCCTTGCCTGAGGAGGTTGTGAAGGTTAGGACTATAACAGTGTTTAAAAGAGAACTGGATAAATTCATGGTGGTTAAGTCCATTAATGGCTATTAGCCAGGATGGGTAAGGAATGGTGTCCCTAGCCTCTGTTTGTCAGAGGGTGGAGATGGATGGCAGGAGAGAGATCACATGATCATTGCCTGTTAGGTTCACTCCCTCTGGGGCACCTGGCATTGGCCACTGTCGGTAGACAGGATACTGGGCTAGATGGACCTTTGGTCTGACCCGGTACAGCCGTTATTATGTTCTTATGTACACTACCACCTAAGTCAATGTAAGTTATGTCACTCAGGGGTGTGAAAAAACCCTCTCTCTGAGCAACGTAACTTCCATCGACTTAAATCAGTGTCTACACTGTGCTATGTCGGCAGGAGACGCTCTCCCATTGACATAGCTTCCGTCTCTCATTGAGGTGGAATAATTACGTCAACAGGAGAACACTCTCTCGTCGATTGAATGCGTCTTCATCAGACGTGCTAAATCAGCACTGCTGCAACAGCGGTACCAATTTAGCACAGTAGTGACAACAAGCCCCTAGTCTCTTTTGAAAATTCCGTTCTTAAGCAGCAGTGTAACTTTACTCACGTGTGTAACCCCACTGAAATCAATGTTACTCATGTGCTTAAGTGCTTGTAGGATCTGACCTATATGGAGAACAATACAAGAAATAATCCATTTTATACCATTGCATCTAGCCGAGGAGTCCATCATATTATTTCGGTCTATAAGTCTGTTTCCAAGTACATTTTTAATACGTGAACACATCGCACTATAGGAAAAGGGAGAAAAAGAGCACAGATACTACCACGTTGGGCACTAATATAAAAGCCTAAGATGTTCTGTAGCTGGAACTCAACTGAGACCAAACTTAAAAAAACAAACAAAAAACCCTGAAACACAAATATGTAAATATTACAAATACAGAGACCTTGCCCTGAGGAGTTTAATATAAAGAAAAAGAGGGCAAATTTTCCATTCCAGGTGATTCGAACAATTGTCTCATTCCTAGATAAGTAGGG